GGTCAGTAAAAAAGACAAAAAGGGGAAAAAAAAAAAAAGATACTGTTAATGAAAACTCAAGCCACACACTGGAAGAAAAAAATGTTTGAAATGTATATTTGACCAAGGACCTGTATTAGAATTAAAAAGAGCTTTTACAACTCAGTAATAAGATAGAAAACAGCATAATTTTTTAAAATGGCCAAACGAGTTCATAGGCACTTCATACAAGATGATATAGGGCTGGCCAGTGAGCTCATCTGGGAGAGTGTGGTGCTGATAACACTAAGGTCAAGGTTTCAGTGGTGCTGATAAAACCAAAGTCAAGGGTTCAGATCCCTCTACCGGCCAGCTGCCCCCCAACCCCTCCCTCCCCAAAAAGAAGTACAAATGGCCAAAAAGCACATGAAAAGATGTTTAGTAGTATTAAGCATCAGGGAAATGCAAATTAAAACCACAATGAGACATCACTACATACCCACTAGAATGGCTAAAATTAAAAAGATTGACAATACCATGTGTTGTTGAGGATTCAGAGCAACTGGAAATCTCCTATATTGCTGGTGGGATGTAAAATGATAAACCACTTTGGAAAACAGTTGGGCATTTTTTTTTAATATTACATATACACTTGCCATATAACTCAGCAATTCCATTTGTAGGTGTTTATCCAAGAGAAATGAAAACATGTCCACATAAAGACTTCTACATGAACTTTCCTCTTAGTTTTATTCAAATAGCCCAAACTAGAAAGAACCCAAATGTCCACTAACAGTTGAATGAATAAACAAATTGTGGAATACCCATACAATAGACTACTATTCAGCAATAAAAAGGAATTAATTATTGATACATATAACATAGATGAATCCCAAAAATATCATGCTGAGCAAAAGAAGCCAGAAACGAAAGATTGCTCACTGTATGATTCCGTTTATGAAATTGTAGGAAAGGCAAAACTAAAGGGGCAGAAAGGAGATCAATGTCTGGTCATATCAAAATTACTCAGGACGGGCTGGCCGGTTCGCTCAGTTAGTTAGAGCATGGTGTTGGTAACAACAGGGCCAAGAGTTTGGATCCCCGAATTGGCCAGCCACCAAAACAAAACAAAACAAAACAAAATGACTCAGGAGCCAACTTGAATAGGGTCCCACTAACAAAAGAAGTTCAGTCTGGTCATCAGAAAGCTTAAAGGGCTGGCTGGTCAGCTCACCTGGGAGGGCATGGTGCTTGTAACACCAAGGTCATAGGCTTGGATCTCCTGACCAGACAGCTCCCCAAAAAATAAAGAGGCTTAATAATTGCAATGGATTGAGAAACATCAAATGAGACACATGAGTTCGTAATGATAATAAACATATACATATGCATACGTTGTTTAAAAAAATAAGAATATGGGCCGAGCCCGTGGCGCACTCGAGAGAATGCGGAGCTGGGAGCGCAGCGGCACCCCCGCCGCGGGTTCGGATCCTATATAGGGATGGCCGGTGCGCTCACTGGCTGGTGCGGGTGACACCAAGCCAAGGTTTGCGATCCCCTTACCGGTCACAAAAAGGACAAAAAAAAAAAAAAAAAGAATATGACAAACAATAGTTATAGAAACAAAAATGTTGTTACAATNCAAGCCAAGGGTTGCGATCCCCTTACCGGTCACAAAAAGGACAAAAAAAAAAAAAAAAGAATATGACAAACAATAGTTATAGAAACAAAAATGTTGTTACAATACATTCTTTACTATATTTCTAGCAACATATTTCAGCCTGACCCCAGAGACCTTAAAATTGAGAAATAAAGTATTTATTGAATATATGGTACTGAATGAAAGGAATTGAGGCAAATAAAAACGTTTTAATTTGTAAGGATGTGAGTGAAATCATTTTTTCTGTTGAAGCACTTCTTAATGTTGTTTTAACAATAAACAAAACTTTTTGAATTCTTTTTCTGTAAACCACCTGGCTTTATGTTCTACCCACAGAAATGCCTTGAATTCACACTACATGTCTATTCTCAGTCCACATAGCTTTTCTTTCCTTTTTTCATATCTGAAATGCCAGGTCCTCTGAAATCTCCCAGCTTCATTATAATGCCAAGTAGTCTCCTAATTTCCAGGCCATTTTGGTGGGATTTTGACATTTCTCATTCTCAAAGTCCCAAGTTTACATTTGATCACATTTACTCTAGCCCATTTGAGGACTCCAATCAGTCTACAGACATTTTGTCAGGGTTTCTATATTTTCTCCCTTTAGTTTGGCATTCCATCATGAGGAATACCAGACTAAAGAATCTGGATGTTTTCACAAAACCCATCATTATTAATAGAAAAACAACATGAAGGGCAAGCTCTCCTGATAATTTTCCGTCAATTTGTCTCACAGTCAGAAAATAGTAATTTTTATGTATCACCAGCCAGGAACATATGGAAAACACAGACTTTAAATGGCGTGTGGGGTTAGGGGAGGTTGTATGTAGGAGAGAGAGTAAGGAGTCAGATAGGGTTTGTAAGTGGTGTGCATGCCACCAGAATTATGTTCATGCATGTAACTGAGGGGAGGGTGGAGGTTTACAGAACCTAAGCAATCATGTAGTCCACCCTTTTTATCTCAGAGACTAAGAAAAACAGGCTTAAAGAAATTAAATGAGCAGCAGCCTTTAGACAAGAACCCAGGGCACCCTGAAGCCTAGTTTAGGGTCTTTTCTGCTATACCACCTGCATATTTTAAAAAATGAATTATTTAGAAAGCTAAAACAGGGCTAGCTGGTTAGCGCAGTTGGTTAGAGTGTGGTGCTGACAACACCAAGGTACAGGGTTTGATCTCTGTACCCCCCAACTGCCAAAAAAAGATCAGAGAATAAAAAGACAAATTCAGGAAACAAGTTCTTTTTTTTTTTTTTTTTTTTTTGGCGGCTGACTGATATGGGGAGGAGACAAGTTCTTAATAAATTTCAAGGATCAATGACATTGAGATTTTGCCAAACCCTAAAAACTGCATGAGACATAAAGGTATTTAAATATTTGCCAGAGGCTGTTTTAACTAGGTCTAGTATTTCCTAGGGGCACACCTCCCTTGTTTATGTTTCTTAATTTAAAAGTTGGGAACAAGTATCAAAGGCCATGGGTTCCACACAGGCACAAATTCAACCCTTCATCATTCATTCCTCTCTAAGCAGTTTTTAATGAGTGTCCACTATGGCTCAGGCACCATGTCAGGGGCTGGGAATCTACAGAACAAGATGCCTGCTCCCTCAGAGCTTAAGGTACAGCAGAGAAGACAGTGTATAATAAGTAGTAATTATGTGCACAGCCTTGTAACACCAAGGTCAAGGGTTCACATCCCAACAGGCCAGCCGAGAAAAAAAAAAAAAAAAAAGAAGAAAT